GGTATCTACGTTGGCAGCAATGAATCCGAAATCCTTTCTATTGGTGAATTTAGATATCGAAGGAGCTTATGACTCTGTTGAAGTTTCTGTTATTGAATTAGCTCTAAAACATTGCAAATTTCCAATTAATTTAATTCAATTTATTATTAATTCTTACAAAGAACACACTCTACAACTTGAAATCAATAACCACTTGTCCGAACCAATTACAAAATCCAGGGGAATCCCACAAGGTTGTCCATTATCACCCCTGATTTATGATTGTATAACACAATTAATTATTGACAAAAGTATAGATGTTTGGAAATTACCAAAAGATCCTTGTAATCTTAATGCAAACGAAATAGGTATCCTTGGTTTTGCAGATGATATGTATCTTATTGCTGACACATCTGATATTAATACCGATTATAACGAAAGATTAAATGAATTAGATAGATGGGTAACTGATCTTGCGTTAAAAATCAACCCTTCTAAATCAGTTGCAACAATACTGACTGAAAATGAATTGGATATAACCCCAAAAATTAATAATGTGAAAATTCCAATTCAGAAAAATATCAGAGTATTAGGTCATTATCCTTGGGAAGACCAACTTGTACAAGAAGATATTGAAAAAAGAATTTCCCTGTTTGAACTTTCCCTAAAATATCTTCCAATTAGATCATTAGAAATAAGAAATTTTAGAAAAGTAATCCAAGCTAAAGTATTGAGCCTATTCACACATATTACTCGTAGTAATGTTATTTCAACCAAATATTGTGATAGAATTAATATTGCAATTAGACAAGCAATAAGAAGAAGAGGTAACTTACATTCAGCTACATCTACAGATTGGTTTCACTTACCACTAGATCAAGGAGGTCTTAATATCCCTAAAATTGATGAATTTATTGAAAGACTACACATTAAGACCATTATGCAATTGAGAAATCAAAGAAATACCCTTGTCAGAAAAGCGTTTAACTGGGGAATTGATAATATTTCAAATTATAATTCAATATTCCATCAAATGAATCAAAGTTTGAAGCATTTTGACTTAACATTTAATCAAAACTCAATAGAACCTTTAAGACCTTCAATTCTACAAGGTCAAAACTTTGAAATTTATACTGATGGATCGAAAATGGATGAAAATTCGACAGGATTTGGTATCTACTTTCATAAAGGGGTAATTGAAGGAAATGAACAATTAAGCTTTAATATCGATGGAAGATACTCTCATAATGTAGCTGAATTGACTGCAATTCTTATGGCTTCTAAATTATTACCTAATAATTCAAAAGCTACTATATTTACAGACAGCAAAATATCTATTGATATTCTAAATCCAAGATATGATGGGAAATTTTCCATTTTTAAAGATGAATTTTATAGAACAATATTTGATAAGAATTTGAAAATTAAATTGGAAAAGGTAAAAGGACATGTTGATCCTAATAATATAATCGTTGATGAATTAGCCAAAAAGGGTTCGAAACAATATAATATTTCCATTGATATTAGAAAGCTTCTTCCTAATGCCATGTATTTAGAAAATAATGGAACCATTATATTTGATCTACAGAATTATTTGAAAGGTATTCAAAGAGATAGGAGAGCTACCATTGCTAGAGATAAATCCAACCTAATTATAACCAAGGGATGGTCCTCAGCAAATATCAAATACCTAAATTCTCATTTAGAACCTTACACCAAATTCTGTATCTGGAGAAACATGACAAATAATCATATTAGACAATACAAACCCGTAAGCTGCTCGCACTGTGGAAGAATAGTTGAATTAGAACATTATATTTATTACTGTCCTGAAATGAGTGAAAAGCGAAACTACTTCTTGAATAAGTTCTATGAAATAACAAAATATAGAGCAATATTACATGATAGAAATGAATTTAGGTTTTCAAACAGATGGAAAGGATTCTTGATTAATCATAGAGGATTATTAGATGAGAACAATCAAGATGAAATTAGAAGAAAATATCCATCAATTATTAGAAACTGGGTGGAAATTCAATCTTTACTGTCGTTACTTGTTGGTAAAGCACATAAGAGATATTATCGTGATTTTCTTAAAACAAGAAAGAAAAACAAGAAGAAAACCAAAGAATAATCTATTTCGATTTCTAAAAAGATCCAATGGGTCTTTAATAAAGTTCAAAATAATTTTTTTTTATTTGTGGAATTGAACTCCGAAATAGTACAACTCCGGATTGAACTATAAAGTTCCTTATTTGTCAAGTGTTTAGTATTGAACACTGATGCTTACAAGGTTATTCTTGATGAATTTTATTCGATTCTGCTAGTTTCTTCTTTTGTTGTTTGAGTTTCCACTCAAAGAATCCACCACAAGTTCCACACCAAATATCCCACCACATGAAATTCGATGAAAATACTCCACTACATCTACGATGATGAAAATCATGAAAATCAGCACCTCCAATTAAGTTTGGCGCCAAATTATTCGGAGAAAATGGGAAATCAAAGCCCGAATGAGTTTCACAAGCTGCCAATTGTCTAAGGTTGACAAAGATTAAGAGAGTAAGGAAGTGTGGACGGAGGAGAAGAGGTCCTAGAAAGGTGGCGAATCCAAGTATTAAAATTTCTAAGGGATGGGCGAAACTAGTGGAAAGTATAGTTGGAGATTCGAATTCGTGATGGATTTTGTGGATGACGTGGTAGGCCCATGGTGTGTGAAGCCACCTATGGAACCAGTAGTGAGCTGTGTCTTCCATGAAGAAACAGAAAGCTAATTGAAGGAGAAGAACTTTCCAATTTGGGATATTCGAAACTTCGAGACTAAAGTAGTCAATTTGAGTAAGAAAGTGAAAAGCAACTGCATACATTGGAAGAATCACCAAAAAGTAAATAAATAACAAATAGAATGTTGCCTTAACAATTTTCATTCCACTATTTTTCCTTTTCTGAAATAGTTTCGTCAAGGTTTCCAATAAAAATTTATATACTTACTGGTTGAATCTTATATTTCCTCAGAAAATCAAAGTCGCACCACTCTACCAACCACATCAATCCACTAGGAATGAAATAATTCAAAAACAAAATGACAAATGGCAAGACAATTGTCACCATCGTGAGTGAATAATTCTCCAACATGAAATCCACAATTTCACCATTCCACCATCAAAGAATATTCAATTCTGATAAGTTATCATCTGGATAATCTGTTGATATATTAGATTCAT